TGATAATAATATAAATTAGAAAAAAAATTAATTTTATTTTAATTTTTAATTTAATTTTGAAGAAAATTATGTTTTGGATGTGTTTGAAAATATTTTCAAAAATCAGAATCAAAGTAAAAATAAGGAGGACCTATTTGAAAAAAAAAATCTGAAAACCTAGGGTAAAAGTGAAAATAACAAAATTTAGCCACGTGGACTGCCATGTCAGCAGCACTCCCGGTCATTGTGCGTCGCGTGGCACACACGTGGACATGTGTCCATGTGGGAAGCCATGCGGGCGATCCGCGTGCCAGCAGATCCAACGACCCAAATCTCCTCCCACGCACATGGACGGGTTAGATTCGTTTTCTCTTCATACGCGATCGGATGACTATATTTAATTTGATCATGCAGTCCAGATTAATTCTTTAAGTAAGAGTGATCCAACGGTAGATAGTGGATCACGTGTCCCTGTACGAATGGCCCATATCGACGCGAAGAAGGTATATACGCATCGCGCCCCCGAAACCTTAACCTTAGCAGCATCTGAGCCCATCGGAGAAGAAAAAGAAGGGTGGCCTGAAGAAAAATCAATCGTCGTCACTGCCGCATCGGAGCCGCCGCCGACAGCGATGAGGTGAGTTTTTTTCCCCTTTCACTTCGAAATTTGATTTTAAGTCTTCCCATACCCATATCGGAGCCAAAAACCTAAAAGGAAGTTGAAAATCGAGAGTGGAGCTCGACCAAGCTACCATAGCCGCGACCCAAAAACTGCTCCGGTGAGGTCAATCCTGCTTTTCGTTCCCTTCAATCTTTCAACCATTGAATTTTTAACACGTTTATAGTGCAGGTCAATTGAAGGAAATCCCTGGCTGCGAGAGAGGAACAGCGGAGACGCCGCACCAAAAAGCCCCTCCGCTGGTGAGTTTTAGTTTTTCCCTTCTTTCGGCCATTAGAGGCCGCCTAACCTCGTTTTTTGTAGGTTTTCGTATAAAACTAGCTGAAATCGGCCGAAAACGGCCAGGTTGAGATGAGACACCATCATGGGCAGCAGAGTACGGCGGCGGCACCATGCCGGAACCTTAAACCAGCCCAAAAATACATGACGTGTGTTTTTCATTTTTGCAAAAAAATCGAAGAAACCCGGGGATTGCTAGGAAATGCAGTGAAAAAGGAGGTGTTTCAAACACCGACTCATCCATCACTCTTTTCTCCCATTATGGTTAATTAAAGTGTAATAAATAATAATGGTGTAATTTGTAAATATTAGAATTTTTTAATTAATTAAATATAGGTCACCAGTGGAGCCGGTCATCGATTAGTACAAGTTGCTTATTTTATATATACTATTCATTGCTAGATTGTTATTGTTACTCACTGCATACACTTTAATTCATAAACTTACTTGCCTTTTCGTTTATTGATTGCTTAAATCGTTATTTTCATTTATTGGTTAATTTAAAAATAAATGCCCTAATCACGTTTTCTTAATTGTTGAAGTATCAATTTATATTGTCTGTTTAAATGCCGCTCTATTGATATGTAAATATGAAATAGTTGTGTGTAATCGGTGGCTGGTTAATGATGTGAATATGTGTATAAAAAGCTTATTAGATATCATAAAAAATGGTGTACAGACCCGATACATAGAGCAAACCCTGCTGTGCACATTATCTCAGTCGAACGAGATTGAGAAGTCCCATACCGGAAGGGGTTGAGAAGTATTATTTACCCTCGTACCAAATAAGGTATTGAGGCAGTGGTACATTTGGCGTCCATTACCGAATGAGGTATGAGGATGACCGGTTAATTGATAAATTAGATATTGAGTCCACGCGTAGGGGAATATTATGGACCTCTAGAAGTACCGGTAAATAGGTAAAAAATAACGTTTACTATTATTGTTCCTTTAAATGTGTAATAAATTGCTATCTTGGTTATTGCATTCATAAGTCGAATTTGGAAAATTAGAAGGATGGGTATGAAACTTATATTTTTTTTTACATTAAATAAATTTATTTAAAAGAAAAAATAATTCCATTAGTTGTTTTATAATTTATACTAACATTTGATTTTCCATATCGATATCAAGTGTTGATATTTTTATTAGGTTAGTGTAGCTCATTCCCTTATTTAACCATTATAAATCATGAAAATCAAGATCTAGATCTTGAACAATAAAAAAGTTGCAATTAAAAGGTGTCTCTTGCATTCCATCAGAGTTGCCTAGCAAATGTTGACCCTATAAGATTTTAGTTACATTTCTATTTCTATTATTTTAATTTTCTTAAAGAGACATTCCATAACTTTATTTGGTACTCTAAATTAATGTATAAAAAATATAAACTTTAAACTCTCAATTGCTTCCGTCACTATTTTATTAATTCAATATTTTCATTCAATTAAGTCTTGAGCTTTTACATTATATATATTCTCTTTTAATAACATATTATTTGTAATTTATTGATATTTTTAATTCATGGTCTCACTTATAGATATTAATTGTTAGAAATTCTGAATTTTAAAAAAATTATTGTTTATTTTCTTGTATTTTTCTCTTATTTATTTCATGTTTGTTTTAAAAAAATTATTGCCTGAATCTGTTTAAGCTTCATATTTTTTGAGTCTATTTTTATTAAATATATAAATATGTCCTCTCAAAAATATATATGTATATATGTATATATGTATTAGATGAGCGGACTGCCTTAAAATTGAAACAGCCCTAACTATGAGAATTTCTCCCGGAAGACGATTTATCAAGAAAGTATGTATTTATTGAGATGTAGAGAGAAGAAAAACTAAAACAATCTGATACTGATCTTAGTGTCTGTAACCTGAGGGGAGGAGGAGGAAAAAGAAAAGATAAGGAAGGGAGAAAGATGGAGGGAGAGGAGGAAGGGGGTATAAGGCTGAGCAAAAGAATTTCACAGGAGGAAGGTGAAGTCGATTACAAGACCAAAGCAGGAACCGCTTGGAGCCATTCCTATCTCAATCAGAAGCCATGGCATCCCCTCTCTTATCCGAACCAGCGCCGCAAGTGGATCGCCGAGCAGACACATGCCCAGCGTGAGCGTCGAGCTGAGGAAGTCACTCGCGAGGTATCTCTTTGTATATCTCTCCTTTTTCTTCTTCTTCTTCTTGTTCTGTATGTTATATCTATTTGTTTTTTGCAGTATGCGCAGGAGCAGGAGTTCTTTCGCCAGACTGCTTTAATCTCAAAAAAAGACAGGGAAAAGGTTTTGCATCTTCGCTTACTCATTTTTTGTTCGTGGAATGTCTTAATTGTGTTTGCTGCGGTGTTTGAGTATTTGCTTATTGTAGCCAAACTACTAAGTATTGTACTGAGACACCTTTAATAGCAGTTAGTTTCTAAGCTAAATCCATATATTATTTAACTGTAGTGAACCAAAATCAATGAGGATTTTCTTTGTCCGCCAGTTCCTGGCATGCAGTTGATTTGTGGAAGAATGAAATGAGACGAATGCTTTTGGTTGAAATGGTCAAGACATGAAAAATAATGATGTTTTCTATTATTATACTTCTCCATTCCTCCTGAATTAAACATATACCTTAAACCATATATCATCAGGTGATGGATTTAGCCAATCTTATAAAAATCATAACTTTCAACCTGCATCTTTGATTTTGCTACGTTAGTTTATGCTTACATTGTAAATTGATTTAGGTTGAAATGATGAAAGCTGTTAGCTTCATGTATGTTCGTCCGCCTGGTTACAATGCTGAAAGTGCCAAAGCTGCTGAGATTGACGATCAGAGGAAAATAGAGGAGCAGAATAACCCTTTGCAGGACCCTCCAACCGAAGGAACCTCCAGTTCAATGTACCTCAAATATTTATGCCACTTCTTATTTTGGTTTTAGGTTATCAAAATATCCCATGAAGTCACTAATATATCTGTTTCTCTTGAGTTGAATAGCTAGCCATCTCTTTTCTGTAGGCAACCAGAAGCCTTATCTAGAAAAGGTCGTGCAAGTGATGAAAAGAAGAAACCAAGGCCAAAAGATGTTTTTGGGCGTCCTTTACCAACTGAAGAAGAATTTGAGATCCTAAAAAATGCTCCAAGGTATGCCTATGTCTTGCCATATATTTGTATTGGACAGATAAGCTATTGTAGCTTTTCCATGATAATTATATTCTCTCAAGACATGTTTAGTTAGTTGTACAGAATAGTAATTTTCAGTGATTATAACATCTATTACATCATCTATACAAGAGATTAAATTACTTTTCTTTTTGAAATAAAAAGTGTGAAGCTGTATATTGATATAAGTATCAAGAGATGCCACCCATGTACGATAATTACAAGTCAATTAAATTCTCTCTAATATACATAGGATGACCTACAAAAAACTGAGGATTTGAAACTGTCTATTCTTAAGAACATCAAAACCATCGACATCTTCAGTTCCATCAAAAGTCCTTATGTTCCTTTTTTTCCACATCATCCAAAAAATAATAAGTGGAATGATCTCCACTTGATTTCTGGGACTATTAATGCCCGTTGAAACCCACAACTCTTCCCTCACTGAACCTGCCATCACTCAATTAATACCAAACAACCCATAAACTATTATCCACAGCTTATATACCATCGGACACCAAAGTAAAAGATGATTGTAAGTCACTTTCTTCCTTATATACAGACAGCAAGCATTGACCAGTATCTTACCCCTTTTCCTTAAATTACAAATCGTCAAATAATATTCCCTGGATAGGTCTTCCATGTTTGCCTGAAAGGATAGAGACAAATACTTTCATCATGTTTAAACAGCTTCTTGTAGAAAGATTTCACTGTGAAGGACCCATTCGATACCAAGCTCCACTGAGGAATGTCAAGACTACCATCTAAAGTGACAAGGGAGAGGGTGTGAATAGATCCTCATACTCACTGATCTCCCAATCATTCAAGTTTCTTGACACTGCCACTTGTCATACCTTTTCTCCACCACCATTCTTCACAAGAGAGTCACAAATCTATTTTTTTTTTGAGATAAAAGTGAAGAGAGTCACAAATCTTGATATCTTTCTGTTGAATAATAGCATATATCTGAAGAAATTGTGCTCTGAGGGTGTCTCCAAGCAACCATTTATCCTCCCATAAGCTGACTCCGTTATCTGTATCTACTTTCCATATGATATTATCCTGAAACTCCTCCCATCCGAGGCCAATCTTCTTCCACAAGTTTTCCTATGAGATCTCATGCTTACTCTAGTAAAACACCCATTGTCATCCCTACCATATTTACTTAATATAACTCTTCTCCAAAATGCATAAATTTTTAGGGCATTAGTGTTTGGATCCAAGATGAGACATATGGTTTTAAGGCACATGGCAGTCCAGTGATTTGACACTGGTATAATCTTGAACTTGTGGGGTATTTGTTTTGTGATTAATGGTCGTTGTGTGTAGCCTTAATGAGGGTATCAAGAATTTGAATTCTAGATGTTATAGGACTGCTATTCTGCGATGGAAAGCTGATTGATTGATGAAATTTATATAAATGCTCAAGTCACTAGGTAGTGATTTGAGTCTAGAAGGTTGTTAGATTAATAGTACTTCCTCTTGGGATGTTATGCAATGTGCTTGACAAATACAAATCATATACAAGCCAAGAACTTTGTAAATTTCATAAGCTCTTCATTTTACTATTACTAAAAGTATCCTAGGTTCCAAGTTCAATCAATTGTTGAAAGTTGGAACCAAGAGAAGCCAATGATGAGAGAGAGATGAGAGAGGAGGTAGGAATAGAAAAGAATTAGGAGGACATAAAGGGGAGAGATGTTGATGAATTCACTAATTTTACTTGTTTGAGAGAATTTTAATTCGATTTCAGTTTAATAAATTTTGCAGTAATATTTCTTTATCAATAATCTAATATTAGTAACAAATTATTTAAAAAATCTATATCAATAATAAATGTTTGTTAAGGTCACAAGAGGTTATTGTATTCTCTCTTTTAGTTCAACTTTTTTCTTCGCTTCATTTCTTTTAAAACACGCTAAGGGCTCATGTAGGTTGCAACTTGGAGACTAGTGTTAGAGAATAATAAGTAGTTCCAACATAATCTTTTTCCATGTAGTAATGAAATAGTTGAATGTGTATTTTATTGAACATTATACTCTATACATATAGGTTTTTGAGAATGGAAAAGAAATTACACAATTAATTGCATAGGATGTATTTTACCATAATACCCTATAACTTAATTACTTATACTACACTCTTTAACACTCTACCTAAAAGTAAGAAATAGATATTGTCCATCCCTAGTTTACTAGTGATAGTCTAGAAATGCTGGATTACCCAAGCTTTTGGTCAACACATCTGCAAGCTGTATGCTAGTAGACATGTATGGAGTACATATTAGGTTGCTTTATAGCTTCTCATTAGTGAATGTTTGTTGACCTCAATATATTTGTTCTTGTTTTATTTTGCCAAGTTATAAGTAATGCTTAAGTCAATTTGGTGTAACAAAATAGGTATATGAGACTATGCCACTTGATTCCTAGATCTTCTAGAATCCTCTTTAGTAATAGTAGCTCACATATCTCTTGGACCATTGCTCGAAATTCTAGTTTTATACTCGATATTGCAAATAAATTCTATTTCTTGCTCATCCAAATTACAAAGTTATCCATCAGAAAGGTATAATAATCTGTGGTAGATTTTTTGTCCACCACTGACCTTGCATAATTGATTTTAGTATAAATTTTTAGGAGTAACTTGTCATTTTTTTTAAAAAATGATACCTTCTCCAGATGTCATTTTTAATAATGTAATACTTTATAGGCTACTTGTAAGTGTATATCGTCTATGCAAGGTCAATGGTGGACCTAAAATCTACCACATGTTAGTGTATCTTCTTTAGGGTTGTGCACGAGCTGATTTATTACATTCATTGTATAGGCAATATCCGATCTTGTGTATGAAAGGTATATTAATGTTCTAAGTAATATTTTATATATCTCTATCTTCCAAAAAAGAAATTTTTGATACATCTAATTATCTACCAGTGTATCCTCTTCTACCAGTTCCATTATATGATTAGGATCGGTAGGAATACTAGCTGGTTTATATGCTAGTTTGCCAGTATTCGTCAATAAGAGATAAAAGTATTTTTTTAGGACTTCTAGAGGTTTGAGATAAGATGATCCTTTATCTCTACTTTTATTTATTATTGTTATGGAAACTCTGTATAGGATTCTTGAAAAAGCCAGGGAGGAGAACTTCTTAAAAGGTATTGTGGTTGGGAGGTGGAGGTCAAACGAAAGTGTCACATTTGTTCTTTGTGGATGATACATTAAATTTTTTTCAATCGGAAGAGGAGATGATCATGAATTTGAGGTGTTCTCTTGTGTTTTCAAGCTGTATCAGGGTTAAATATTAATTTGCATAAGTCTGAGTTTGTGATGTTGGGTAGTAAGGGTGATGGTGACAGGTTGGCTAGGGCTCTTGGGTGTAAACTTGTTAATTTGCCTATTAAATACTTGGGTCTACCTTTGAGAGTTAAGTATAAATATTTGAAATCTTGTGACCTGATGATTGATTTATTTGAGAGAAGATGATTGATTTATTTGAGAGAAGACTTGCGGGCTGGAAAAAAAATTTCCTTTCTAAAGGAGGAAGATTAACTCTTATTAAAAGTACTCTCATTAATCTCCATATTCATTACTTATCTGTGAAAATTGCAAATAAATTAGAGCATATCTAATGTTGCTTTTTATGGGGGAACGATGATAGAAGCCATTAATATCATCTGGTAAAGTGGAATGAGGTGAAACAACCTAAGCGGAAAGGGGGTCTAGGTATTTGGTCTTTGGTGGATTTGAACAAGGCTTTATTGGGGAAGTGGTTGTGGAGATGCCACTCAAGGAGGGGAAGTTGTGGTGTAGGGTTATTGGGACGAGGTGGGGGAATATTGTTGGGAGGGGGAGCAACAGGGTGATTGCCATGTGAAAAGGAGGATACTGTTTGATTGAAGTAGCCATGAGCATTATTGGTTCGAAACCATTTGATTTTCACTCCAAATTGAGTTTTGATCATATTGTGAAATTAGAGAATAATGTGACTAATCTCATATGTGGATTTTAGTAGGAAAAGCCATGTTACTTTGGTGCAATCATCGATGAAAGAAATAAACATTGGGCCCAGATATATTGAGAATATTTAAGGATCTCCAAATATCAATATGGATCAAATTAAAAGGAAGATCACTTCTTTTATTATTGCGAAAAAATTTACACATTTGCGTTTTGTCAATTTACATACATCATATTGTAAATTTCCATAATTGGAATTTGAAGACAAAGAGGGAAATATAACATTTAAGGGTGGAGAGGGGTGAGCTAACCGTTTGTTATACAATCATATCTTATCAAAGGTGCTAGTGAAAAGGACAGTTCGTGGTATTTCAGTTGCATCTATGAAGTATAACCCATTTCGAGCCTTAGAACGCTTAATTGTCCTCATCAAGTTCTAGTCCCTAAATTTACAAAGAGAGGAAGAAAAAATTACTCTACAATTGTGGGCTGCGGACAACCTAGTTACTAATATTAGATTAATGCATAATTTAGGGACATGTTATGCACCAATAAGTGCAAAGTGAGAAGTAAGCTTTATGATTCCAACCCTTGCTATTGTGGTTAGTGAATCATCATCAATAACGATTTTCTTATTGTTAGGGCATAATGGAGCATAGGTGTTAAAATCGAGTGAAGTTGGTCATATAGTCTCTGACTTCTGAGTTTATAGTTCATGATAATACGAAGGGTTTATCTGAGACATTTAAACCATGAGAGGTAGAAAATATACCTGAATGGGCTAAATAACCGGTACCTTGCGGTGTAATCTCTAACATGATCTAATGCTTTTAAGAAATTAAGCTAATTAATAGAACAAAATGAGGGATTACCAGGCTGGAACTGAACTTCCTTGTTTGGACAAGCTCTCCATGGTGGAGTAGGTGCAGATGTGGGCAGAACAAAATGAGGGATTACCAGGCTGGAACTGAACTTCCTTGTTTGGACAAGCTCTCCATGGCGGAGTAGGTGCGGATGTGGGCTGTGCGCAGAAGGCAGATGTGACTGTGGAGGCAGTGTGGCTGTTGGCTGCATGCAGAAGGGGTGTGCGGTTGTCTCTGTTTGCGGCTGAAGAGAAGGTCGCCGCTAGAGCAGAGCAGGGTAGAAACAAGGCAAAACCAGGGGGCTGTGCGTGTGAAACTGGGCAGAAACAGAGGGCGCATCTGAAATGAGCAAAAAACAGTGTGCACAGCTGAGGAGAGCAAAAAGCAGAGCACTTATGGAGGAGTCATGCAGCTGGGCAGAGCAGAAGTGTCTCCAGCAGTGGCTGTGCTTTGCTGCGGCTTAACAGGGGCTGCGCTTGGCTGGTGTGTGGCTGAACAGAGGCGGAACAGAGGTTGCACGCGGCTGGTTTCTTGGCTATAAAGGCTGGCTGCTAGGGTTGTAGTGGCCAGCAATGAAAGCTGCCTTCCTTAGGATTCTTTTTTATTATTTTAGCAATTAAGACCGATTATGGTTTATAAAATAAGATTATGATTTTTTTTAAGAGCTCTGATACCATGTTAAGAATTGGTTGAATGTGTTTTTTATTGAATATTGTGATCCTGTATATACTTGTTTTTAGGAATGAAAAAAGAAATAAACAATTAGTGTATTTTACCTTAATATCTTTTAACAGTAAGAATTTCTTATGTGGTTAGTTCCCTCTTCTTAGTTTCCATAAGTAGTTAGTTTTCTATTCTTTCTATCTCTGTAACTACCACATTTTGTTTCTTCAGTATAATAACAGAGCAACATCACAAAAATATTTTGATCTCATTGAGAGCTGATAGAGATTTGCTGCTTTGATTCAGCTGGAAATTTTTATTTTTAAAGAGTGAATCATACTAACATAAATGTTGATATGCAGAATTCTGGTGTTTGCCTTGTACAAAACTTGTGTTTCTTTATCCCCTTGCACATTCTGGTTACATTGTGCCAGCCGTTGTTTGAATAATTACTTTTGTGAAAATCTTTTTTTTCTTTTTGAAAATCTACATTTCTAAACAATACTTTGTGCTGTAATGAACATTCAACTACATTTGATCTGGATAATGATTGTGTTGCTTAGGATGGACACTGGCATTCATGCAAGGGTAAAGCCATTTGGCATTGAGGTGCGTAATGTGAAGTGTGTGAGATGCGGAAATTATGGACACCAAAGTGGCGATCGTGAATGTCCATTGAAGGATGTTATAATGCCAAATGAAGAGAGTCGGCTCAGACGAGATGACCCTTTGAGTGCTATCATGGCTCACGCAGATCCCAGTGAGGTCAGTATCATTTTTATTTGTTGAAATAGTAAGAAGTTTGAGCTTGATCTTGTAAGTTAGAGTAGTCTTTTTACAATATTGCTTAAAACTCCATTTTGCACCTTGATTTCTGTTCTGGAAAATATTGTAACTTCATTTCATGTTAGAGAGAAAATATTGGTGTTTGTGGCAATCTCCATGTGAAAAAAGGAAAACTATAAATAGAAAAGCTAATATATAAGAAAGGCTTTTATAAGAGAGTAACTGTAGAGATCACTAGCTCTGGTATCTAAAATTGGAGCTAATCTGCAGAGATATCTAATTCTGTGATCACTAATTTCGTCTTACTCTTGCTATTCCAAGACATCTGGTTATCACTTGATAGACACACTAACTTGTCATGGAACAACAATTGGATGCAGAACCAGCCCAATTAGCATGTGTATCAGTGGATCAAAGTATGCTCATGATTCTTAGAGTAATCCATGGCAAGGTGAATGTTTAAGATGTCTCAAGATACAGAGTACATACAAGTGCTGCCCAATGAATGGTCTGAGGAGGGTCATAAGTTGTCCAACAATACTCTTTGCAGATGAAATGTATTAGATGACTCACTTTTCCAACTAATCTCCTATACACATCGGGATCCGCCATTAGTTCACCCCCATATACAGTCAATTTGAGAATAGGGTAGAAGCATCAAGTCCTTTAGATCCCAATATCCCTATCTCGTTCAGAAGCTTAAAGACATTTACATACCCATACCAATAATATCATTGACACAGACAATGAGTAACAATTTTTCAACTATTAAGTGATGACGGAAAAGAGAATGTTCTACTGCACTTGATGTAAATCAAATTCCAAAATGAATTTATTTACGATACACTCAACAGATCCATTTGGATGAACTTTAACAGTTAAAATCCATAGATACTGATTATTTAAAAAATAAACAAAGTCCACTAACACTGAACAATAGGTTTCTTGGGATGAAGATTAACCATATCCCAACTATCATATGCCTTCAACTCTGTGATTGTGTCTGGGGGGTTTCTGCGGGGCAAAGAGAGATGTGGCTGTAACAAAGGGGCGGTTCGCAACTGAATGCGTGACTGAGGGGTTATGGCGCTGGTGATGAAGGCCAGTTGGGCTGCTACTGGTGGTTGGTGTTAGTGGCTGACGGCTGGTCTACAGTGGCCAATTATGAAGATTGACCTAACATTTGTAGAGTTTTTCTTGCCTATTTCGATAATGAAGACCGAATAGGGTTTGTGACTGAGATTAGGGCTTCGTTAACTTCATGCTCTGGCACTATATTAAGAATGATTCAATGTGTTATTTTATTAAGTATTACAAGTCTATATATACAGATTTTTTAGAATTGAAAAGAAGATAGACAATTAATTAATAATAATTACAAAATGTGTAATCAATCAATTTTGTCCAATAATCATAATAAATTGATAATATTATTTTTAATGATTAACTTTTTGAAACTTTAAATAAGATGTTGGTGTTAGCCAGGGAGCAGAATTTGTTCATGGGCCTATGGGTTGGCAAGGGAGATAGAAGTGAGGAGGTGACTCATTTATTTTTTTGCGGATGATGTTCTATTGTTTGTGAACTGAGGAGTGAGGCCATGTTAAACTTGAGGTGTGTTTTGATAGGGTTCCAGGCGGTGTCGGGTCTTAGTGTTAACCTTGCCAAATCCGAAGTGGTTCGGCTAGGGGAGATGGAGGACCAGGAGGATTTGGCTAGTATCATCGGCTGCGGGCTGGCTAAGCTTCCCATCAGATATTTGGGAATACCTTTGGGTCCAAATTACAAGGAAAAAGTAACTTGGGACCCAGTGGCGGATACATTTGAGCAGAGACTTGCAGGGTGGAAGGGGAGTTTACTTTCTAAGGAGGGGAGATTGACACTGATCAAGAGTTATCTATGTAATCTACCCATCTATTATCTCTCCCTTCTAACTATTTCTGTAGGTGTTGCTAGAAAGCTTGAAAAGATCCAATGCAAGTTCCTTTGGGGAGATTCGATAGAAAATATCACTTCGTTGCTTGGAATGAACTCAAGAAACCCGTTCGTATTGGTGGGCTGGGCATTAGATTGCTGGTAGAAATGAATCAAGCTTCACAGAGGAAATGGCTTTGGAGGTTTATGAGAGAGGAAAAGGCTCTTTGGAGAAGAATAATTATGGCTAAGTTTGGGGTGGAGGATAGGGGGTGGTTCACGGGTGGGTCGTTGAGATCACATGGGAGGAGTTTATGGAAAAAGATTGGTGATGACAAGGAGAACTTTCTGAAATGTATCAGATGGAATGTGGGAAGAGGAAATAGAATTCGCTTCTGGGAGGACAATTGGTTGGAAGGGGGGGAGTCTCGGGCATCAATTCTCACAGATCTTTTCTATTGCCCAGAATAGAGATGCCAGAATCAGTGACTATAGCAGTGGGGAGCTGGCGGGCAAAAGGGAGTGACTGGTTTTGGTTGCTAGAAATCTCAATGACTGGGAAGTTGGCGAATATGAGAAGCTGCGGAGTACCTTATCTCTCATTTCACTTAATGGTGAAAATGACAGGCCAAAATGGATGCTTACTAGGAATGGTTCTTTCATGGTAAAGTCTGGGTATAAGAGGCTGATTGGGAGAGCTGATGACATTGGGCTGTTCCCGCATAAGCAGATACGGAAAGTCAAAATCCCTCCTAGGGTGTCTTTCTTTGCATAATCTTAAAGAATGCATTCTTACCATTGATAAATTAAAAAGGAGAGGGCAGGTGCTGGTAAATGCGTGTTTTATGTGCCTGAAGGAGGAGGAGAGCTGTAACCATATGTTGTTATGGTGTCCCACTGTTTTCAAGTTGTGGTCATTGGTGTGTAGGGTGTTGGGGATTAATTGGGTAATGGTGAGGACGGTCANNNGTTTTTGTTGATGGGTCCTTCACCAGTGGTCATGGAGGATTTTAAACACTTTTGTCTCGTGACGACTGAGTTGTAAATGCTGTATATGGGTTGCACCCCCTTAGTACTTATAGTAATACATTTTATAATTTTTATTTTAAAAAAAAAATGTAGAACTTTTTGAAGTATAATTTCTTTTGGATAACTAATTCATACATGTTATTGTGTATATGGGTTGAGGTAATGTGTTGCAAAATTGATATTTTACAATGTCTATTATTGATTTTACTACTTGGATTGAAGTTTTCTTTCTAATGCACTGAAAGTTTGACAAAGCACTTTGTTCCCATAGTTTGGGGAGAGAAAAAAAAACTTAAAAATCAGTCTTCTGTCTCAATTTGAATTTTGCTTTTAAATGCAGCCTCTTAAGTGGGAGCTGAAGCAAAAGCCAGGACTGAGTCCTCCTCGTGGAGGTTTTAGACCAGATGATCCCAATCAACAAATAGTTGCTGAGGATATATTTGATGAATACGGAGGTGAGTGCTTTATCTTCATAAAAGTTAACTACATGTATTATCTCATATCTTTTTAAGAAGTTCTTACAAGGTTCACCTTCCAAATTATAGGTTTCCTCAGTGGGGATCCGATCCCCGAGCTACTGAGTAATTTTCCCTTGAGTAAACCCAGAAAAAAATCTAAGAAAGGTAGTAAGCATAGAAAGCGTTCATCACAACATTACGGAAATGAGCTTTCTTCACTTTCTGAAAGTGAGGAGAAGAGGTCACAAAGAAAGGAGAAGAGGCATAAGAGAAAGAAGCGAAAGCATCCCAAGCAGACCTCATTGGATGAATCTGAGTCCGACACTCATAGAAATAGCAGAAGAAATTCTTTTCATCCAACGGAAGATTTTGGCTCAGCTAGACTCGTAAGAGATCAAAATGGCTGGAAAAAACATTTATCTTCATCTGGAAGGGTATTTGAGAGGCATAGGAGAAACGAGAAGGGCGTGCATAAACAGTCTTATTCATCTGGAGACTCTGACTTTAGGAGGAATCGTGGAACTAGAAAAGAGAGAAAAATACACAAACACTCTTATTATTCTGGAGACTCCGACTCTAGTAGGCATTGTGGAACTAAAAAAGAGAGAAGAAGACACTCATATTCTTCTGGAGACTTCGACTCTAGTAAACATCATGGAAATAAAAAAGAGAGAAGAGAGCGTTCTTACTCATCTGAAGATGATTCTGATAGGCAAAAGATAAATGAGAAGAGTAGCCACAAACACTCTTATTCTTTCAAAGATTCTGACTCACATATACGCCGTGGAAGTAAACAGAGTCAGCATAAGTCCCCTTACTCATCTGAAGAGGATTCTGATAGGCATTCTAGAAGAGGATGGAGCAGACAAAGATATCTTTGTGCGCATTCATTTGCAGATACTGAATCTAATAGAAATGGCAGAAACATACACCGACAACGGTAGAGTACACTGTGAAAGATTCTGAGTCTGATAGAAATGATAGAAGCAAACACCGACAACAGTAGAATACACAGTGAAATGAGGCTCATCGCAAGCATACTATAGCTTTATGCTAGGTAACATGCCTATCTACATATGTTCTGGCTTTCTGTCTACTGGCGGCTAATCTATATATTACAGTAATTCTTAAGATTGGAATGCATCTTATTGTGTTGTTTTTATGGGTATCTTCTGAGTATTTCCCATTAAAAGTGAAGCCTCTAGTTCTTTATGCTTATGGATCAAGAAATTGTCTCTTTAATTTTTTTTTTTAATATATGAATTACTTTATTTCACAAAAAGTTGTAAGGATGTAACACCTATTAATAATCAAATTGATATTAAACTAAAAACTAAAAGTCAAACCATATTTGCTGATTCTGGTTCACTCATGGATATAGAGCTTCCCTGCGTGTAATTTAGTTTTTAGTTTTCTATTTAATTGATATTTACATCAAAATTTATATATATGATTGATAAATTGAGATAATTTAAAAAGTGATAACTACTATGAAAAGAACAAGCTTTACAGTTTGTATTAAAACAATATCAAGCCGTAGAACGTTTAGCCAGTATAGAACCGGAGCGGTCTGACCTAAAGCCCGAGAAGCTCAATTGGAAGCCGAAAATTAGGATAAAAGGCTGGACCGAAGACCCTAAGCATGTTGAATCTTCACTTTACATGCAAGCTAAATAATGTGACCTATGACATTCATAAAACTCGAGATAATTATTGGTTTTCTTCTATGATCTGTCAAAAATCTTTCATAAATGCTCATTTTTCAGTTTAGAGATAAATTTATTGAAATAATTTAGTCTTCTTTGAAGAAAATTTATATTAAATTCTCTCTTTTGGTTGGCCATACTCTATGGAAGAAGGTTTAGTCTTGAAAACTATACGTATAAAATCTATATTTATCATTAACTGTCAATTTTTATATAATTTTATAAAAGAAAATCTATATAATAAAATGTGCATAGTAATAGAGTTCAAATAATAAAATTGTTGGACCAAAAATAGATGTATAAACTTCAAGTCATCTAACTAATACAAAAAGATCAATCAATAGGTTGAACAAAGGATTTAATTTTAGTATAAAAAAATTATTACTCCTTTGCTACCAATACCATGTTTCATCATCACTTAATCTCCTTTCTCTTATATGTGTGTCATAATTTTATTTAAATTTTAAAAATAAAAAATAAATAGTTTTTTTATAAATACAAAAAAAAAAAAATCATTGAACAGAAATTATGTTGTATAGTTAGACTATCATAATTCGGATTAATAATTAAACATTAAGATAATTTTAGATGGTTGATCTTGTTTATTTTGTTAATAAATAAATATTATATAGTTTAATTTATTTAAAATTTAAATATTATTTGGTCCAAATCAAATAAAACCAACCTAAATAGTTGTTCCTTCACCAAAATTATTATAGTTTGATCCTCGGTTCAATTTATGCATAAAAAATATGTATATGTATATATATATATATATATATGTATATCACCTCTTTTTGTTCTTAAAATTCTATTATTTTTTTTAAAAAAAAAATTAAAAAAAAAAAAACCAAACCCCCATTAATTTCTTTTACCCGAAAATCAATTAAGCCTACACAGAGGCCCAGGATTCCAAACCTCATTACCAAGCCCACAGCCCAAATTCATCCGTACCCGGTCCGTTTGTTTTTCTTTCCAACCAACCACCAAATGTTACCGTTTTTCAGTCCTCTCTTTTCTTGATGAACACCCAAAATCCTGGAAACCCTAATCGCCTTTCCAAGTGGAGCGTCTTTCCACTAGAGCAGAAACCACAGAGGCCTTAAACCTAATCTTGCTTCTGCCTCTTCCGTGTTGCTCTCTGTTGCACCGAGGCAGGAAAGCTTGGAGAAGAAAGAATAGAGGGGTGGTCTTGAGGGAGGGAAGAAGATAAGACAGAGCAGAGAAGTGAGGAGTGATTTTGGAGGTCTTCTTCTGAGAAGTGTGGACGGCTTTCACTTTGGATGAGAGAGGAAGCAAAATACTGAAGCCGAGAGAGGAAAGATGAAAGCAGCAGAAGAAATGGAGTGAACTTGACTGAGCTGATAAGAGAAATTTCACAACCGAAGGAAAGAATCGAGATAGAAAAAAGAAAGAAAGAGAGCATAAGGAGGCTTCGTAGGGAAGCTTTTGGCGTCAAGAGACGGGAGGAAGGTGGTTTGAAACGGAGGCACGGAGCGCGAAACAAGAGTTTGATTTGAAAGTGCAAGATAGGGAAGGAGAGAGAAAAACCGGAAGAAATTGAGAAGGAGAATGAAGATGTTTTTTTTTTTTTGTTTTGGAAGGACATTAGGGGTTTTTGGAGAGAAATTTATTTTGCAAATTTCTAGGTTCTAGCAAGAGTGCCCAGATAGTAGAGGCAGGGTTTGAAAGGGAAATTGAGGCAGGGTTTAGAAAGAAAAGGGCACAAAGAGGATCATTGGAGTCGGCTAGGGAGGAGTAACTTCAGTCAGGAGACATGAGGAGCTGGTGGGACAGACTCACACTTGGGACTTCTCTTGTTGAGCAGTAAGGTCAGTGTCATCTTGTTCTCTGCCATATAATACATGTAATTATGTGTGTTATGTAATGTTAAAATTACAGTCTACGATCATATGATTGATGTCTCGTCTCATGTTATCGCTTCTTTTTCTTTTGTTAAAGACTGCTCAGTGGCTATGTGTATGTTTACGTAGGCTAATTGATGAAAATGCTCGAGAGGTTTTGTGAGACAGACTCTTGGTTGGTTATGTCATGTTTATTGGTATCCTGATAGGCTGTTGCTTGTGATTCAATGACTAGGGAGCTAATGTTATGGATCTTGAGAAGCTGTTCTCTTTTATTATGAATTTGGCAAGCTGTTGAGAAAATTCATGGATTGGAGTTAATTTTGCTTAATTTGATGATTGGTGGGAACAAACTGTAAAGAAGGGAAATGAGTTCATGGGACTGTTTGTTTGATTGGCATGATACTGCCACTTGGCTTATGTCTCTCTCTGGTGTGACTAATACGGCTAAGAGTAAACAGTCTGTAGGTTGTTTTTCTTAGGATAGTTTTGCTTGTTATGAATGTATTATTACATGCTAAAAAACGTCAAACCAGACTGTTCGTGGAACAGAGTAGGCAATTTTTCTTGGTCTATGTAGCTTTTTTATACAATATGCTCATAACTTAAGATGCTCAATCCTCTGTTTTGTGTCATGATCCTGTGGTTTGCATGGATTTGGAAAATGCATCCTAGTTGAAGTTTTGTTTTTTTATTTTTTTAATTCTTTCTTTCTTTCTTCTTGCATATGCTTCTTTCAAAAGTCATCGTCTAGATAATTTTCTTGAGCTGATGAAGTTATTTGCACCAAGAATATGAGCATTGAAGAGTGAGGACAGATAGTGGATTCTCATTTTTACCTGTCTGGTGTTTAATTTCTCCTTTCCTTTTGGATTTTTAATATGAAGCTTAGTGAACTTTATTCAGAGGTTATTATCATAATTTTGCACTGCTGTATTAGTTAGAATGCACGCAATTTAAACCCATTCAATTAGCCTACAACCAAATCTGGCTGCTTTACTTTCTTGCCTTGTATCACTTTGATCTAGATTTTTTTAAAGACTAGTGCAGGGTTTTAGTGTTTAATATCACTTACAGTAGGATTTGTTGATAACTCCCTTTCTTATTTTGGATGAATGGAAATTGTTATTTTTGGGGGTTGCTGCACACGTGACACCTTTTAAAGGATCTTGGCATGTTTTGTTGACTGCTGCTGAGGTGGTTTTTTTTCCGTCTTTTGAACTTAGGTATTTTTGGCATTTTTTCTGAAGTCTTTTCTATGTTTCTTTAACTACTTTGAGGCCATTGTTTTGGTGTTTGGACTTTTTTTAAAATGTAGAGATCCATTTTCTAGCTTAGGTGCATATCATTCTACTCTTTTTAGACCTTGGCATGACTTAAAGCTCTTTTATTGGAAATATATTTCTTAGCTGCTATTTGGGAGTCTAAATTGAAGAGTCTGCTCAATTTTAAGGGTGATGGAATGAGAAAGGAAGTGAAACCCTTTTGGCAAGGGGCTATCTTTGCTGGCTTAGGGACAACATGGCTTGCACAAAATCAAAGAATTTTTTATGACCACAATATCTCTTTCCATGAGATATAGCATAGGGTGATCTTTTGGCATCATTATGGGTCAAAGCGAATGAAATTTCTCTGACCTGTCTATTTATGAACTCAATCGGAATTGAGAGAGCATTATTTTTGGACATTAGTTTATTATATTCCTTATAATTTTTATTTATTTATTTTTTTGGTTTATTATTGTCTGTAACTTTTCTCCTTTCTTTGTATCCTTTTCCTCTTACCTTAATAAATCTTTTTTTTTTTTCTTTTTATCAAAATGATTGAGGAACTCTGATGCAGGATGAGAAGTATTTAAACTAATTTATTCTGCAAATAGTTTAGAGAGGAATCTGGGTGAGAAACAGAAGAATAAAGATAGACAAGAAGAAATTAGAGATTATATAGACAAGAAGAAGTTAGTAATTAAGGTCAAAAGATATAGAAAACAAAATAAACTGCCAGAGATATGTCAGACATGACAATAGTCAGAAGAACGAACACAGAAAAGGTAAGAGGGACCAAAAACCTAACAAAAGGAATTCTTGCATCATCATTGTCTCTTCTCTTTTTGTTGGTGACTTCTTAGGCATTAGTTACAACCAACAAAGAAAATTGTAAAAGAGGAAATCTAAAAGATTCTAATTCTTAATATTTAACACTATCTAAACGTAAACAAAAATATTATAGTATCATAAATGAATCTAAATAACTTAAAAATACAAGACAATTGTAATTATTATAAAAAAATTCCTTAGTATAAAATTTATTCCAAAGATCTTGTTCTACATAACGTTATTCTTGGCCCATTCTTGATCTTAAACGAACTTTGGAAGATTATCTTGATTAGGACCTGTAGTCCTGCTGCAGTGCTAAGAATGTTTAGGGAGAAATCTGGCTATATCCTTCACTTTTTATTTGACCTGAAACAATATTTCTTCTCTTTGGTTCTGATCTTCCTTGGAACCTCCATCACAATCTCTCAAGAGGTAAATTTGAGATGACAGCATGGGGAAGATGGTTATGAATTGCTTGTTTGTTAAAGGCAACGGGAATTTTTTTATCAGAGAGGTGGTTGGGTAAGGAGCATAGAGTGCTTTCTTAATAGTGCATACTGGTTATCTTTGACGCAATTAGGATGAAAAAGGGAAATCTCCACCATGTCGAATTATGTTTGCTAAATATGCCTGTTTTTGAATTATATTAAGGATAGATGGATATACTGTTTTGGATCCATACTTTTCGGACACAGTCTCTTATCTTTTGATGAGATGGGAGCTGTTGTCAATATGCTCATTGATATGTAAATCTTTTGTATATAGGCGGTACCCTCTTGGTGCCACTTTTTAATGCATTTTCTTACTTTTATCTTAAAAAAAAAATTTCTATTACCTACGGGATTCTTAGCACTGAATTTCTCAGGTGGTGAACATGTCAAGTTGGTTTAGTAGCATAAGCAGAGATTGAATTCAATTGGATGGATATAGTTGAATCCATACTTGACATTCCTGTGCAAGATCCAGCAGTGGAGGACTTCTCTTCTGCCGATTTAGTTTGGACCAAGTTTGGAACAGCTGAGCACCATGACGATGTAGCACTCATTCCTTATGCACGGGCAGATGAATTTATAATTGGAGAATGCTCGAATGTAGAATGCCCAACAAGGTTCCATATTGAGAGGGGAAGAAAACGATTAAGGGGAAGCTTGAAGGAGTACAAGGATGATGAATATTTGGAATACAGACTGTAAGTTTATAGCCTAGCTAAGTTTCATATCATTTTGGATTCCATTAAGCCTGTCTCCACTAGTTGTCTTTGTTTCCATATGTGATGTAGTTTTCTGATGCAATTTCTATTAGGCTACACTAAATTATTCTTGCTTGTGGATTCTCACTGCAATTTGATATCTAGTTTTCTCTTAAATACTAATGTCATTTAGAAACTTTCAGCATTTCTGGATTTCACAACTTGGATTGCTTTCCTGTCAATTTTATGCATGCAACTTTTTCTTGAGATAAATGCCTATATGCCTAAATTAATTTTATTTTTTAAAGGTATTGGTGTTCATTTGGTCCTGAAAACTATGGCGAAGGTGGTGACATACTACCAAGTCGAAGGTATCGACTTAACACCCGAAATCGGGCTGCTAGGCCTCAATCAATGCGTGGATGTACATGTCATTTGCCGTGAAGCGCTTGTATGCTCGTCCATCTCTTGCACTTATTATATACAATGAAAGGCGGCATGTAAACAAATCTGGTTTGTGCTGCCATGGGCCACTTGAAAAAGATGCTATTGGTCCTGGTGCCAAGAAAATTCCATATATATGTAATGAGATTCAACAGCAAACGATGTCCATGATCTATCTTGGCATTCCTGAAGAAAATGTGTTGGAGAAACACATTGAGGGTATTCAACGATATTGTGGTTCAAATGCCAAAGTCAATACCCTTGCCTCCCAGTATGTCCACAAACTTGGAATGATAATCAAACGGTCCACGCATGAGTTAGATTTAGATGATCAAGCTAGCATTCGGATGTGGGTTGAAAGAAATAAAAAGTACATTTTCTTTTATCAGGATTCTTCAGAATCGGACCCATTCATTCTGGGGATTCAAACAGAATGGCAGTTGCAACAAATGCTCCGTTTTGGCCATCGTAGTCTTATTGCAGCTGATTCAACATTTGGCATAAAAAGGCTGAAGGTAATAAAATATCAACACCAGTCGGTGCAAAGCTTTAGATAATATGTTATATATTTTGAATTATTCTTTTGTTTCAAAAAATAATTTGAATTCTTTGAATGTCAGTATCCTCTGTGTACACTTCTCGTCTTTGATTCTAGACAACATGCACTTCCTGTTGCATGGGTTATCACTCGTAGCTTTGCAAAGCCTGATGTTGCCAAATGGATGAGAGCACTTCTTGAGCGTGCTCGGAGCACAGAGCCTGGATGGAAGATCAGTGGTTTCCTTATTGATGATGCAGCAGCAGAGATTGATCCCATAAGGCATGTTGCTCTTTCTCTAGAGTGTGAATTAATTTTTTAATGAAAATTTTATGTCAGAGGTACAGTTGTTTCACGCATTGTATTCACTGTCCTTTCAGGGATATATTTGGTTGTCCTGTCCTGTTTTCATTCTGGCGTGTTCGCAGATCATGGCTTAGGAATGTTATTAAAAGGTGCAGTAATATTGAGGTTCAACGAGAAATTTTTAAACGTTTAGGAGAAATAGTTCACAGCATTTGGGATGGAGTTGATACATCAATCCTCTTAGAAAGATTTACTCAGGATTTTGTTGATCAAACTGCCTTCATACAGTATTTCAAGGCCTCTTGGTTGCCTAAGATTGGTTAGACCTCTCGCTCATCTCTCTCACAATTCTCCCAATGTCTATGATGTGGAAAAGTCGTGCAAATCTTGTATTCTAGTAACATTATTTTTTCATGTGTAACAGAAATGTGGCTTTCAACAATGAGAGTTCTTCCACTTGCAAGCCAGGAAGCATCTGGTGCAATAGAAGCTTATCACGTAAAGCTGAAAGCCAAATTGTTTGATGATTCACATCTTGGTGCCCTCCAGAGAGTTGATTGGTTAGTACACAAGTTAACAACTGAGTTGCATTCAAGCTACTGGCTTGATCGATATGCAGATGAAAGTGATTCTTTCCAAAATGTTAAGTTGGAATATATTGCTTCAACTTCATGGCATCGAGCATTGCAAATTCCAGATTCTGCTGTCACATTTGATGAAAAAGAGCACCTCTTTGCCAAGGTTTTGAGCAGGAAAGATGGCAGCTTGACGCATTTAGTATGGAATCCTGGATCTGAGTTTTCCTTTTGTGATTGTTCATGGTCAATGCAAGGAAACCTTTGCAAGCATGTCATCAAGGTCAACATGTGTGAAAATCGGGAAGAATATAATCCCTCAATGTCCTTTTATTCGTTAAAAGAGATGCTTAGGAATCTAATGAAAAAACCAATGGATGACTCAGTTTCATTGGATCAGTCAATTGCTTGGACCTTCCAGATGCTTGATCAAATTAAACAACTCGTCGAATTGAATAATTCAAGTAATATTGGTGCTCTGGTAAATAATTTTCCATTGAGATGGATTTCTAAGAAACACAGAACGTCTGTCGGCATACCTGCATCTGTTTTGACTTTTCAAGCGGATTTCAAGAGTACTCCAGCAAGTGCTGGTGCACGTAAGAAGAATCGGAAGCGGAAAACCTTGTCACGGTTGCGGTGATTACTTGAGTTGACCAGTGTAGGATTGTCTGTTCCACTGTCCTGATCATGGCAAAGAGGAGTTTCTAATCACTACTTTCTTCAGCTTAATATCATTCTGGTGAATTGTGAACTCCATTCCTGCTGGATTTTTTAACTCCTCTGAGAACTCGATCACAATTCCATCCAGTAATGACTACCAGACTCTAGACGAGGATGAAACAGAGGCAAGCAAGCTGCATATAGACACACACACACACACACACACACACACACACATATCTTGATCATGAAAATTCATAAATTCAACAAGATTGGATCCCTGAAATGATATTACCTGTCAAAGGTGGTGCCAGATTTTGGAAGGATTTCTGAAATGATTGCTATTTATCTTATCATCTTACTCCTTGCGGCTATATATCTTTTTCCTTCAACCTTTGTAAAATAGGCCAAAGTACAATTTTTGCTCTGAAATAAAGAGGATGGTGAAAATACATCTTGCTATTCATCGAACAGAATTATGATTTAAATATGTACAGGCCAGCTGCTTACATCAAAATGGAAGTACACGGAAAATTATATTTCATAAGTCTTTTATATATGTGTATACATATATATCATACTAGATGATCGATGATCAATGAAGCTGGATAAGACATTTCGGTTTCAACTTCATTGAATGAGGATGCTAGTGAAATGTTGGGTAATTTGAGTTGATCTTTAGAGCTCAGTTGGTGTAATGCTTAAACAAATTGTTCTCTTTATCATATATCATGAATAAATGGTATATTAGAATTTATGTAGATTTGATGCTGCATTCTAGATTGTATATTGTAATTGTCTTGAGATTTCAGCTATTCCTGCGGGTACATGAAGTGGCAATGTCAGGTACTGATTAAAAGATCCTGGAACGCCTTAGGCCTCTGGTACCTCCTCACAAAAAACTTTAGACCTCCGGTACCTCCATAATCCACATGCATGTGTTCTGATTTCCTGATGGAAAAGATAATGATTACTGTTGATGGAAGATTGTTTATCCGGCATTTTTATGTTTTAACTCTCTAGGAGGTGTTCCTCCAAGGAAAAAAATAAGTTGTGCTTTTCTTGTTATATGTTCTCTTCTTTAGGAGATAGCTCTTTTGGCTAGAAAAAAATGAAATGTGGATTTAGATCATATTTTGATGCATTTTACCATTATTAGATTCATGGAACTATAGTTATTAGGGAGATTTAGCATCTGGTAAAATGTCTGTTAATTGTTTAAGAAATTTATTTCTTATTTAGTAAGAAAAAAATATTTCTTATTTTAGTTGAGAATCTTATTTTATTGTTATTTTCATTTTTATCTAATCGTATGAGGGTATATGAACACCCTATAAATATTAGTGATGCATCATTGTTTGACAAGACTGCTTATGAATAAAAATGTATTAGTACTTACTAAATTGAGTGCCCAACAACTTTGTTATTGTGGTTAATGCCAAGCTTGTTAGTAAGGATTAAATTTATTTTTCTTTACTTCTTTTATCTTTTTAAACCTCATTCCACATTGTTATATTAAAACTCATAATTGAATGACCAGTAGTGCTAAGCTGAATTCTTTTGTTTTACAGTCCAGTTAGGAAGGAGAAATGGAAAATAAGAAGGGGAAGGAATAAGGATAATGTGGTAGCACAGTAAATTATAGAGCTTTTTTAATTTTTTTTTTCCATGAAGTAAACAACCTCCTTCCCTTCCCTATTCTCTTTATTCTATATCTCCCAAGTGGACCTCAAATGCTCGAAGGACAGGGTGAGAGATGGTAGAGATTCGTGTTGTTAGCTCTCCGCTTAAATCTTTATTTTGTTTCTTGTGCCTTTGGTCTATATCTACAGTGTGTTCAAGTTTGAACAGATCATTACTTCATCTGCTTTTGCCTCAAATGAAAATGTATGTATTAAAAATCTTAAATGCGAAAGCGTAATAAAAATTTTGATTAACGGGATCTTACACAATAACAAAAAACGTACTTAAAACATGAAAGAATAAACTAATTAAAAGAGATACTCGAAACAAAAACTATAAATGGAACTATAAAGTCTTTAGGCGTCTAACTCGTCGTCTTCCTGCGGAACGGGCTCGGGAACCTCGTCTTCCTGATCTCAAATGGTTAAATAAGGAATGAGCTACACTAGCCCAGTAAAGACATCACACTATCTCACTGCCACAGGAGTAAAGGTCGGTAGAAAACAAAAACAACCAATGGAGCATAATTTATAACAAACTCATTTATTAATAATAAAAATCTTTACTGTCCGCTTACCTCGGTGAGATTTATGAAAATAACATATGAACACAATAGCATTATAACCATCATAAAATCATATACACTTAGTAACATAGCACATGTCATAATTTTGCACTTCAATAATCAGATAAAAAATTTTCTCTTTTACCAGCCTACTAGTATCCATGGGGATCTATAGGGGGTCCTCACTAAACGTGAACCATTAACATTAATAAGCTGATTCCAGGGCCGTCCCCATACCCTGTCCGGTATGGGCGCCAAAACACATAAGGTCTCCATACCCCGTCCGATATGAGAGACCACGTTCCTGGTAGGGTTCCCTACGGATCCGGTCCGTCCACCATCTCCCAGGATATCTAGTCAGGCTGTCCACGTTATCCATTTATGAATTCACATAACTTTTTTGTCCTTTTTCTTGGTCTCAATCATTCAATCATACACAACATGTAAACCAGTAATTGACACCAAATAAGACAACACAGTATCGGGTTCACCATGATACAAACCATAATAAGAGAAATCATGATTCATGCATAGGAGACCATAAAATAAATACATCAAATATCATACTGCATTTAATACTGAAAAAAAAGATCAAACAACAACTGACCAACAATGTATCAGATTCGGGCTCCATTGGTAACCTCAATCAATTATACATATCTATAAAGTCACAAAATACCGTTTAATTATTTATTAAGCTTTAATGTCGTGATAGGAGGTAGGGTGAGAGATTCTTACTTGTTTCGGGATCTAAAATCAGCTCTACGGTACGCCTACAGGCTGTCCCTAAATTTTCTAAATTTTTTCTGGGAAACTGAAACGCACTACCGGTACCTACACGTGCCCCAAAAAATCTCAAATCAGATCTAGGGCCCCTTTCGGCCAATATCGAAATTCCGGCACGGCGGCTCCGCCGTGCTCCGGCGATGGCGCCGCCGCCTGCGGCGGCGATTCGCCTCGGGTTGGCCGTTTTCGGCCGAATTCGACCAAACTTTCATCGGTTCCTGCAATAAAACAACCCTAGGGCCCTCGGTGGCAAAAAAATCACGAAAAACTGAGACTTACCGGCGGTAGTGCTCTCGGGTGCGGCGGCTTCTTCGGCGCGAGTTGCGTTTTGATATTTTGCTTCGGTCAACCTGTAGAGAAAAGGACAGTGATCACAGTGGTATAAAAAATTGCATCGAACGGAGGCCGGGAAGGGCCTCATCAGAGGAAAAAATAGAGGGAAGCCGCGGCAGCTTTGCTGGACTTCGGCAGGATTTTTCGGCCAATTGGCCTGTGATTTGGCTCCGATTTGGCCATAGGTAGATTCAGCATCGAAAAACAAGACAGGGGGAGAAAATTTACCTCGATTGGCGATCAGAAAATTCTCCGGTGCAGCGGCGGTCGGCTCCTCCGACGTTTGGTTCTTCTTCTCCGGCGAGGCACTTGCGGCTAGGGTTTGTGGTCGGGTGTGGGTGGGGTTATTTATACCATTCCCCTTTTAATCTCAACCGTCCATCAAGTTTTAATCTGAACCGTCCGATCGCGATTTATTTGGGATTAAATCTGGACTGTCCATCGCGATGCGATCTGGGCCGTCCGTGCGTGCGGGAACGGATCTGGGCCCTCCGATCGCGCACACGCGGATCGCCCACGTGGACCGTCCCGTGTCAGCGTTCCTTACCACGCGGCGTGTCCTGGTTGGCCGGGGCTGCTGACGTTGCTGCTGACGTGGCAAAATTTTTTCAAACTGTGTTTTGACCCCCCGGTTTTCGATTTTCCTTTCAAAAACACCCACAGAATCCAAATTTTCACCCATTTTTCCAAAATCAATTTTAACTAAATCCAAAAATAATTTTATCCTATTTTATCATTATATTATTTTTATTTTTATTAAATTAAATTAAATTAAATTGAATTAAAATCTTATAAATTTAAATATATACAAAATAAAACTAAAATTCAAATACAAAAATAAAAATAATAATTTTAGTGTTACAACTCTCCCCCCCTTAAAGAAATTTGGTCCCCCAAATTTGCTTCTTACTCTTGGTTGAACAAATGGGGATACTGAGCTCTAAATTCTGATTCTAGCTCCCAAGTAGCCTTCCTGGGCGTGTGGTTCTGCCACACGACCTTTACAAATGATATTTCTTGGTTGTGGAGTATTCTGCTCTTTCGGTCCGTGATACCGACTGGTACTTCTTCATAAGACAAGTCCTCTTGGAGTGGAAGCAGTTCATGAGCCAAGACATGAGAAGGGTCCGGGTTGTACTTACGTAGCATGGATACGTGGAACACATTGTAGACTCTGGAGAGCTCTGGAGGCAGTGCTAGTCTGTAGGCAGCAGTACCAATCCTGTCTAAGATTTCAAAGGGTCCAATATATTGGGGGTTTAATTTTTCCCTCCTGCAGAACCTACTAATTCCCTTGAGATGAGTGACCTTAAGAAACACCCGGTCGCCTTTCTCAAACGCTAGGTCTCTCCTCCGGGTATCTGCATAACTCTTCTGCCTACTCTGAGCTGTCTGAATGTTCTTTCTGATTTTAACTATTTTGGATGTGGTCTCCTCTACTAACTCCAGGTCGAACAATCTTCTATCGCCCACTTCCTCCCAACAAATCGGTGATCTACACGGGCGCCCATATAACGCCTCATATGGAGCCATGCCGATGCTAGCTTGGTAGCTGTTGTTGTAGCAAACTCTATCACGGGTAGATGGTCGTCCCAATGGCCCCTAGAGTCCAGGACATAAGCTCGGAGCATATCCTCAAGCGTACGAATTGTTCTCTCTGATTGTCCATCAGTCTGGGGATGGAAGGCAGTACTAAGAGACAGCTTTGTTCCCATAGCTTGCTGGAAGCTACTCCAAAACTGAGAAGTGAACCTGGGATCCCTGTCGGATACTACTGTCACTAGAATCTCATGCAATCTGACTATCTCCCGGATATACATCCTTACCAACTTGTCCAATGAATCGGCCATCCTGATGGCTAGGAAGTGGGAAGACTTGGTAAGTCGATCAACGATTACCCATATGGCATCATGTCCTGAACGTGCCTTGGGCCATGGTGATATGTTCCCACTTCCACTCCGGGATCGGTAAAGGCTGAAGTAACCCACCTGGGCGCTGATGCTCTGCTTTGACCTGCTGACATACCAAACATTTAGATATAAAGTCGGCTATGTCTCTCTTCATCCCATGCCACCAAAACCGGGGTCGCATGCTTTGGTACATTTTGGTGCTTCCTGGATGCATGGTAAACTTCAAGCTATGGGACTCCGTCATAATATCTCTTTTT